GGACCACACAGACTCGGTGATGTGTCACTGGGACATTGTCAGTTGTTTTTGGCCATTCGTTTTTTTTTTCTTTTTCTTTTTTGCTATTTTCAAAGTGAAGACAGTCTTCAAAGGGTTCATGGGAGATCGACCTTTTAAATGTGATGATAATACATCGACTTTTTATTAAATAATAGGAACACAATTTTTTTAGTTGAAATTATGATGCGTTTGAATAATTACTGTGTGAATTAATTAAAAATTAATAACAAATTCTTTTGTTAAATTTCGTGGAATTGTTTTTCTTATTTCATTGTGAGAGAAATTTTCATTGTAATTACAGAATAATAATTCGATTTTTTAACGTCTCGGAAATTAAAATAGATTTGAATAATTCAAGTGTGAATTAAATTAAAATTTCAGAAAATTTATTTTGTTAAAGAATTGTTGATTGAATAATAATAATCAATTTTTAAATATATTTTGTCAATTACTTGGGAATTAAATTGATTGAAACTGCTGTGTAGACCAAAAAAGTCGAAATTTCGAAAAAATTGGAAAAATCGCTCGAGATTTTGAATTTCAGCATTTCTTTGCGTTTCTCCTTTCTCGAGGATTCGAAGTTGGAAGAAATGAAATTTAGTGACGAATCTAAAAGATATTTTTAGGGGAATGAGAGACGATTCTATTTTTTATGAAAATTAAAAAATGGAGGAATTATCGAGAGATTCGAGAGAATTCCAATAATTTAAAAAGATAGTCATACGAAATTTTCTTTTTCTCTAAAAACTCTAATAATTTATCATGAATAGAAAAATTGTATAATTATTATATTTCTACCGCGCACATTATTATTCACATCTGGTTCGTGAATATTAGATGAAAAATGCAAATACATTTCGATTTTTCTTTCAATCATAAATATTTCATATTCCATGAAGATGAATTTTTAATGCATATAAAAATTAAAAATTTACAAGTCCTCCGCACTCTCGCCTGGCATTCCAATTGGTTAATTAAGACTTCTCGAGAAAATCTGCGGATGGCTGACTTATCACAAATTATCCATATGTTATCGCACATTTGATAATAATTTTTTGTTTAAGTGGATTTGAACGCGAAATTCGAAAACAGCTTTTAATAATTTTCGAAGTTTCTGGTGGATAGTGAAAGTAATCGGGAATTTCATTGAAAGTGACATGAGACCTTTCAATTTCAACCGAACGGTTTATAAAAACTCTAAAAATCGTTGCGTGTATAATTTAAATCCCAAGATGATTCAATTCATGAAGAAAATTAAACAATTCTCTACATTTCATATTTTCTTCTGCTCGATTTGTTTACTCTATTAAACAATTTTCTTCCAATGAACAAGTGAAATTTTGGAAAATTTCAATAAAAATCGTATAAAATAATAATTTTCCAAAGACGACCTCAAATTTATCAATCACAAAATCCTTCATTCCCAAAAAACTAATGTAGATTCACAATGACGATAACTCCATTTTTTTAATTAAAAGTATTCTCATTACCTGAAAATTGCTATAATTAGATAAATATTTCTCTCATGCTGTAAACGTTTTTTAAAGTTATTCCCTGAAATCTTGGAGTTTAACCCTGAGCAATGATGAATTTAATAAAATTTCCAGATTATTTAAAAATACAGGATCGATTTGCATTTCGATATAAAATGACAAAAGGAAAATTAATAAAGAAATCCTAACATTTATTGCCTTCTCTGAAAATAACGTAAGATTCTCCAGACTTGAGGAAAACCATCAAAACCTCATTCAATTATGATGCCACAGTGGCAAGATAATTCTGATCCCACAAACTATCCTTCGTCACAATTACAATGTCCCTATCAAGAATAATTCCTTGATTATCAGTAATTGCACCATCAGCGATCAATAATTACCCGAAATTGCACATCCTCATTGATTATCAATTACAAAATGATCTCCAACTCTTCAATAAATTCATTACTCCAACATAAGACGAACGAAATTAATAACTCCATCAATAATTCTGCATTATCAATCATTCAATATTTTTTTCTGACATTGAATAAATAATAATAAATTATTTGCAAATAAAACTCGAAAAAAAAATCGATTCGAGACAAAAATATCTGCATTAATTGTAATTTTAAAAAACTCCCAATTTGAAGAGTTAATTGTTAATTGAAAATCGATCCGAATAAATTATTTCAGAATTACTGGGATGGTTATTGTTTGTATTTTTTGTCAATGTTTATATTTTTTTCCAGTATTCATCGTGGATTATCGCTTTTATTGACGGAATTATGAGTATAAATAACCGCTATCTTCCATAGGTGACGTAATGACGTTAATTAATTCAAATCGATACAGAAGTCGAATGTACTGTACAGGTTGCGAGTTGTTTCCGCCATCAATATAACACCTTTTAATGATAATTAGCACTTCATCAATCGAACGACAAAAAGATTGAGTGCAATCTAGATTTATTTGAATAATAAAAGAAGAAGTACAGAAATTAAAATAATAATTTAATAAAAATAATTTTATAGAAAATATTGAATGGAAATGATAATTGTGCAAAGAACGGTTTTTTTATGTCGGACGATAAATTTTTGTTATTATTGTTCTTTATCTGTTTTAGTTTTATATCATTTTTTGAATTTTACCGCCATTTGGGTTACAATTGGGGAAATCCCCGGCTTCTCAATTAAAAATTTCACCGCGATGCAGGTCACAATCAGGGGAGTCCCCGGTGTTTTTCGACGCTTTTTTCTCACTGACAAGAGCGCACGACTTGCGCGCGCATAATACTCGCGCCTCTATTTAAATTGAATTATAATCACCGAATGTTTATTTCAATATCAGACATTGTAATTTAATTAGAAAATTGGATTTTCTTTTATTCTGGAGAAATCGCAATATGAAATTGAATGATACCATCAGACCCAGAAATATTATCTCGATCTGTGATTAGCAGAAAAAAATTGCAATCACATGAGTAATTCTCAATATGCAATTACATATGACTCACTAGCATAATTTACATCTTCCGCTGAAGATTAATGAATACCAACAATTTTTCAGAGAATTCCATCCAAAAAACAAACGTGACAATAAATAATTCCCCCGAACTTCAGAAAAATTAATTCCAAAATAAAAATACTCACAACTGAATAAATTCCCCAAAAATGATTACTTTCAGAAGAGAAATTCATAAATCCAGAAAATAATTCTCAAAAAAACAATAATCTCTTCTAATTGCCCGAAAATTCAATCAATTCATAATTACCTCTAAAAAAAATTCCGGAAAGAAATCCACGAAATCAACAACTTTTGCTTTCATCACATCTAAAATTCCGAATCGATTAGTCTCGCGAATCAATTTCCTTTCCTTCCGCGACGCGGGAAAATTGCGCAATATTTCCATAAAAGCAGTAATTCCCTATTACGAATCCCCACATGTTTTTTTTTCTAACTGATCTGATAACGAGAGCACGTGCTGACATAAGACTCATCGCAGACATAATAATATGCGCCAATTGTTTGTTTTTTTTTCCCTAGAAGAAAAGATGAATTTTCCTAGGGAAGGGATCACTCATCTAAACAATTTGTCGTCACGACCCGAGAAAATAGCGACGAGGAAAGATCGTTTGACGTCACGAAAGTAAAAATGATTAAAGATATTAAGGAAGATCTGAGCTAAAAATCCCATGGAGTTATTATTAATCATTTTGTCATTGGTTGCAGCGTATTTGGGCATTTTTTTCGGTGGAAAGGAGGTGGCGAGTGATCTTATTCGTGCGAGATACCCCGGGACTTCCCAGGAATGCTAATGGAATGTGGAACGATTTTTTTTCCTCTCATCTGAAACCCGAGGGGCAGGTCAGCAACGATTCCGCGAAAATCATTACAATCTTCGAGTAATTATTGATGCTGTTTCATCAGATGTCGATGACGACGAGCTCCCGGTATTTTCAATCCATTTACTCTTATTGTGAAACATAATATTTTAAATTTTTTGAAATTTCTACGAATTTGTTGTAAACATTCGTGATTTTCGTTTCGATAAAACTTCAGAGGATCTCGTAATAAAAAAATCACTCGTTTATAATTTTATAACAACAAAAGGCATATAAACAAAATACTTCCCCTTCGACCGATTCCCCTTCCCCAAAATTCTTTGAAGTACCAAAATTACTGCAAAAATTTGTCAGAACTCTAAGTTTCTAAATTGAAAATAAAAATACTGATCTTGAATTCATTTTAAAGAGACCGCCGAACTGTAAGACTCCCAACCAATGATTTTCAATTCAGATAGTTAATTAAACAATGACTCTTTTATTAATCCTGAAATTCTGGTAAACGTTTATTCAAATTTTAGCAAAAGCTCTTCACTCTTTAAATATTCGAGAGAAAGACTCGAGGAATTGAATTTAGTGCAGAGTTTATTTACCCTAGACTCGTTTTTCCGATTGATTCATATTCAGATTGAGTCATCAGATCTACGCAAGTAAATATATACAAGTCCTGAAGTGTGCCGAGAGGTAAATCCCATGTGTAAGGGAAAGCTGTGAATTTTCCGGTTGAGCAACGGAATAAAATTGAAATAATTGAATCAAACCGATTAAATAGAAGTGATTCAACTGTCGATTTCTCCGATGGAAAAGAGATGACAATCAGAAAAACTTTCTGCAATTTTCTCTCAGTCTCATCAATCTTCCTTTATAATTAATTCTAATAAATGCCGAAGTGTCAAGTAGTTGCGTGATTACACATTTCAATCAATCTCACTGAATCGTTTTATTATTTCACAGAACCATTAATTCCTATTAAATTTAAAAAAAATGAAAGGATTACGAGAAATATGCAAGAAGTCCCCAGAAAATCCCCGGAAATGAATGAATTTTAGATAAATCATGAAGTCAATGAATGAAAATGAATTCAAATGAATTCAGTTTTATAAATCTCCTGACCCCCAGGAAAAAATCCATCGACAATCGAAAAAGGAAAAATCCTCCATTAATTTCCTCTTTTTATTATCATTAATCTCCACTCATAATTCGTTGTATAAAAGTATTTCATTCATAAAAAAAAGTGTAATTAATTCTAATAAATGCACAAGTGTCGAGTGATTGCGTGATAATGTATTAAATAATTAAACGATCGTTGCGAGCTTATCCTTCCTGGATTCCATGCCTTCTATCAAACCAGTTAATAAATCTTCCATTTCCGTAGCAGCACGTTTGAGCTCGCAGTTGTCATTGGCACTGAATGACTCTTCCAGGAGGCAATCGTTCGCTACCATGTGCTGGAGGCGATTTAAAATGTCATTGAGGTCTCCCTGGATATTCTGGAGACTGCTGTGCTGGGAGTGCTTGTCAGGACGTTGCAGGGACGATGGAGTATCTCTTGGAAGACCCAGTGATGAATCTGTGTCAATCGTCTTCGAGTATTTGTGTTTCATCATTGAAGGATTATCAGGGCTCAGCCACTGGGAAAAACCACTCGGTGTCTGATCGATCGTTGTTCGATAACCTGTAATCATTTAAATTCATATTTCAATTTATTCAGGTATTATTCAACCATTTTATAAATAAATAATAGAATTTCTCGGTTTTTTTTCGATTTCAATTAGAAAAAAATGTACTATAATCGTGAATTAAAAAAATCCAACAATCAGAGGAAAACAATCCAATCTAGATAACGTTGATAGTCTATAATTACGTAGAATAATTATCTTAATAATTACCTCCAATCCACGTGCTCAACTCGATTCTGGAGGGTTCAGAGACCCGAGTATTGCTGTAGGTATTCGAAATCTCCTGTGATTCACTCTCATCATTCTGATTGATCTCCGAAACTCTGTAAGTATTTTCCTGGCACTCATTGCCATTATTAATCACTTGATGTTGATGTTTATCATTATTCAACTGTCGAGTAATGGGACTGAGCTCGAACTCTGGAAGAGTTAATGCTGGATATCTTGAGGAAATCGGTTGCAGCATCGGTGTACTCTGTACGCGATTAATCACCTGCGTCGATGTAATTCCTTGGCCGTTGAATAAATACTTCTACAAATAGAATTGTACTGTTATCATGGCGTAATTACAACTAGTTTTTTTATCGTTCATTCATTATTTTATAGCCTTGCGCATTGGATAAAGCTGTCCCACGTCACAACTGGACGAGTTTTTTTCTAATAACTTTATAAATAGATTGAGAAGGAAGACAAATCCTCATGGGAATTTAAATTACAAAATTACAAATTGCCATCATAATATAATGCTATCATTTTCTTAAATGAATTTACCTTTAATTATTAAACAAACATTTTATTCCCAAATGTATTCCCCATTTTTCTGAGTGAATTCTAAAATACATTTTTGGGAATTGAAATAAAACTCTTTTAATTAGCGAATTAATCAGCTAATTACGGATTCATAAACAACGTTGTAATCTCCAAAAATGTCTGATTATATTTTCCACTCGATTCAGAAGCTTCTCCTCGCAGTAAAACCACAACGAATTATTGGCACGTGTTTCCTCTTGCGACTTAACATCGAGTAATTACTCACTATAATGAATTTCATACGTACTTTGAGTATTTTTAGCCGCTGCAATTGTGATTCTACGGTGCGTCGGTGCTGCTGGAGTCGTTCAGCCCGACCTCCACATATCTCCATTAATTCCACCTGCAATTGTCTATTCTCCTCCTCCAGGTGATTAATAATACTCTGCAACTCTTTTTGGGGATCACTCAAAACTCGTCGTCTGACAGTACTCCTAACTGATATCGTGTCAAGCCCTCGTGCCTCACTCCTACGAATAGAACATTGTGGATGATTCATCGAGATGAAACAGTCAATCAGCTATTCCCAACGATTTATCAATAACATAGACTCAACTTGTACTTGTGGGTATTCATTAAAAAATTATGTTTATTCAACTGAGAAGTGAAGACTGAAGAAGTTGTACCGTTATCTCGAGAACAATTTTAATCCACCAATTGCTTATTTAAATTTCCTCTGGGAAAGATCAAGTTTTATAATTGATGAATATTTTTGAGTGATCTATTTTTTTACTCACGTTGGAGACTCTGGGGATTGAGCTTCTGCTAGAGGAGATGAGCCCTGAGTCGGACAGAGACGTAATTTATTTCTTATCAGCTCGACTATCAACTTCGTGAGTTCTTTACTGGACGTCTGAAAAGATCATAACTTCATTGCCTGATTTTTTTATATTTAAAACTGAATTTTATAGCTTCAATTTAAGTTGCACACAAAAATTGATAATTTAATTACTTAATTTGATTATTAATTTGTCTTTATTCTATTTTAGCAGAGAAGTGCACGAGAAATTCTTGAAGAAAAGAGTTAGAAACTTTTAATGCAATGGATATTCTTAATTTCAATAATTGCCATAATTTTCCCGTACCTTCGTGCAATATTCTCTCACAGGATGTTTCAATTTATGTTTGCTCGATACTTTTCCAAGGAAAAAGCACGTCTGGCATTGATGATAACGAGCGCATCTCAGGCAAGAGAACCTCGGCCCATGGATTGGCGTTATTTTACACGTTGAGCACTTAATATTATGGACGGCTGTGAGTAAAAACAAAATTAATATCACAAAACATGAGATCAATCCTAGTATAATTCATTCCACGATTTCGCCTCATTTTTTGAATAAAGAATACGTTTTAATTTAATATTTAAATCCCACTAAACTTTTATGTTAATTTATGAAATTGAATGTTTGGAATGAAATTGGTCGTGGGATCGATTGATTTTGGGATTAGAGGAGCAGAATCATTAAGATCTGGTAAAATTTAATGAACTCACTATTTTCCGACACCTTCAACCGATTAAACGTTGAAATCCAGGACAGGAGAGGGGGATCCTGCATCAACCAGATTCCAAATTCAGTCTCACTTACTCCCAGGCATCCCTGAGACTGTAAAACAGGGATTTCATTATTTGAACGTCAGGTGGGGATTATTAATACATCGGATGTACCGAGGAATGAGAGGGTGGGTAATTTATTCAGAGAGGAAAGCGACGATTTACCTCGAGGGCAACCTAAAACGAGATAAGTCAAAGGGATTTGTGTAGATTAATTCTCCTTTATCTTGGGAGGACAGAGGTTTAAGAGAATTTTGCACAGGAAGCCTTTTGAAGCTCGTTAAATTATCCATACAACAATGATCTCTTCACGTTTTATCCTGTCATGCCTCGTTAAGGGGATAATCGTGATTAACGAGGAATTACCAGAATTGATTGAACAAGAGTTTTAACGACTGATGACTCCTGAATTAATTGCACGATCAATGAGTTATTAATAATTGATTAAAATGATTATTCACCTCAATGAAGCAGCTGTCAATGCTCGACTGCACCTGATGACTCCCATAAGCCACACTTTCTCCTAGCATTTCGGTTATTTTACAGACATTTGTTAATAACATATGCAGTGCAGCCTTGGATAAACATGCGTTGTGGTCTGCCAACAGCTGATACAGATACTCGTATTTCTCCTGGAGCTTGCCGCAGCATAAAAGAGTTAGAAACACTTTTACTGGGAATACTGAGACTTTTCCTTTGCGATCACTAAAGCAGAATTGAAAAAATTAGTAATTTGTAATAGATATTGTGATTATTATGACTTACTGATCGAATATCCTCAATACACTGTTGACAGCTAGCTTGGTTGCCTGATTGACATCGAAATCCACCTCGCACTCCTTGTGGGAGGCGAAATATATGTCTGATATGACGTCCTCTATCTCTGTCTCGTCCAGTGGCACTGAGTTCTCAGTTACTGATAGCCGATGACGCTCGAAGACACCCATTACTATTTTTAACTCTACATATTGCACTGCAAAATGGAAATTCAAGTTATTCCGACGACGGAAATCAATTTTTAACTCGTAGTCCATCAAATTAAGATTTTTTCATTTCAGCAGGTTTTATGTATTTAGAAATATCTTCTCAGGGAAGCAATTTTGAGGATTATGTTGAAGGACTTTTTTGTAGAGAATTTCACGTGTTATAAAAAGTTCTTATGACATTTTTCCACATGCCTTCTAGTTTTGGAGGTATTCGCGAATGAAACCCGACAAATTTTTCTGTCATTCGAGCATTTTCAATTCTGCATCATTTTATATTTGTTTAAATAACTTTGGAGTGATAGAGTTTAGCAAAAAATGTTATAAGACTTTTTTGTAGAGAAGTTCATAGCCTACAAAAAGTTTTCATAACATTTCTCTCTAAACCCATTAATTTCGAAGATATTCGCAAATTATGCGGCGCAATTTCTGTGTTCACTCAAACACTCCAGGAAAAAGTTAATTAATTATTAATCAACGTACTATTTAATTCCCTATGCAGTATCTGCACCTTGGCAGCAGTTCTATACGTAGGATACCGAATTGTATTGCAACCCTCGATAGCCCGGGCCACATCCCGCAAAAAATCCTCTGCAAATTCAAAAAAAAACAATTAATTCTCTCCGAAAAAAATCAAATTTATCGGAAAATAAAATGTCTGAAAAATTTGAATAAATACCTTGGAACATTCTGATGACACGTAATGACTTCCTGAGAACAATTCAACGTTCATTGACTTGGACGCTCTTCCATCACTCTCATTTACCGAGGAATTTTCAGGGTTAAGTCACGGATTTCACTTTCTACGGGGTTAAATAATTAGAACCCCTCAGAATTCCGCACTCTATTACCTATAAAATTAAATAAATAATAACTCCCCATCACTTTGAAGTTCAACGCGATGTGCACCGACTCTTTTTACACTTTTAATCATTTCTTTTTGTGGCAGGCGTAACCTCTGTTGTTACAACAGAGACAACAACAGGTACTCCAGGTGTCACGGACTGTAGTCAAAATTCATGGGACATTACCTGTTGTTTTTTTTTCAACATGAAGTTCCAACGGACACAACGCAATTATTTTCAACGTACAATTTCAAAATTCTCGAATAATATGAAAAATTCCTGTCGTTTTCTCTTTAAATAACTCCACAAATTTGAATTTTTAGAAAATCCTTTCTTTAGTGAAATTGAAATTCTTGGGTTATTTTTATTTATAAAAATGTTTACAATTTCAAAATGAGTCGAATTCAAATTTCTTCAAAGTTATTCTCATTATGACTATTTCAAACTATTTATCCAATTATTTGTGGGTAAAAAAATTGTACTCATTCAGGGGAATCACAGCTTCCGGAATACGGAAATAAATTATGAAATCAGCATTAGCAATTAAACTATTAGTTTTTTACAACATTATCCTGAGGTGTGAGGCTTTTAGACTGCCCTTTTAATTATTAATCTTGTCTTTAAAATTTTAAAATTAATCTTGTCTTTAAATATTAAAGCTTCAGAGAATTTAAGTATTGATAATTGTTCAGGGAAACTGGTAGATTTTTCATTGAGGTTTTCACCAGTGAAAATACGCACTTGTACTTAATTAATTGTAATTAAGAACCACTCTAATTGAATAACTGCTATTCCGTTAATTGATGATAATTAAATAAAAATAAAAAATAAAATAAAAAATGATAATTAATTTTATCATTTTTTTATTTTATTTTCGTTTTTGCGTTGGGCAATAATTGACGTAAATTTATTTATTCTCCCTAATTTCAGTCTCCAATTTTCTACATTACAAAACTACAAAATATTCTTCATAAGTCGAGAATAATAAGAAACCACCGATTCAGAGAATTTCATGTTTACTTGGGGTATTTCAAGGCTACCGCGCCTCGAATAGGTGTAGGAGAGGGACAAAGAAATCAAAGATGGCGGTAGGCCAAAGCAGCGAGTGTTGCGTTTGTTGTTCCCTCTGCGGATTTTCGAGTAAATCGAGGGTAAAATCATTGAAATTATTATCAAAATAGTCGTAATTACTTAACAACAACGGAAGAGAACGATTTGAAACATTAATTGGAGCGAATGGTGACGAATTGGCAGTGCTAGAGCAATAACAATGCATTTGGCCAAAAACTCACAGTCTCCAGCGTCACTTCTCCGCGCACGTACCCAAAATGGCCGCCGGGCTGATGCTGTAAGATTTTCTCTGCCGATCTCTCTTCGTGTTTTCGAGTACAATACCGGTAAAATCATTACAATAATTATTAAAAACCTGATAATTGATCATTGGCGATGGACAGCAACAATTTTATGGAAAAATAAACCTGAATTATGGTTGATTACACGTAATCAATGGATATTAACGTGTTCCCGCCGAAATGAGTGCTTTGGAGAAATTGTTAATATTTTCACGACACAAGATGGCGACTGTTGTGAATTTCTTGACATTGGACCTTTTTATAAACAATTTAGTGAACTTTTTTGATTTTTTGACATTCGTGATGACTTTTTTGACATTCGTGATGACTTTTTTTAACATTAAAAGGTGACTAAAGTGCGCGAAAAGGAGGAATGGACAAGGAACGATTGACTGATTTTGTGTCTTTACCTATATCTGATGTTAAATTTTTTCGTTATTGTCGACACCTCTACGAACCCGGAAGATGGTGATCAGTGTATTTGTCGCGAGTGTTTTAGTGGGGCAAAACGGTGAATTTGATTTTGAAATACTGTTGCGAAGTGGTGAAGGTAAATCGGATTTAACATCGAATTTAATTGATATTTAACGATAACAAAATTCGATTTGTCTTATCCTACCACTTTGCTAATGAGTGTAAAGTGTAAAGTGTGTGAAAGTGTGTGAAAGTGTGTGAAAGTGCATTGTGAGGACAGAAATCATGGCAGAGGACGACGTCGAGGGATCTTCGGGAGCAGAGATCGAGTCCTGAGGTTCCTGTGACAACTTCTTCAGCTGTAGCAGTTCCTGTCATCACCGGTGAGTCGTTAAAACTCATTTATTAGTATTATTTATTCTCGGTAATCTCCATTCCGTTGTTTCAACATCATCTTCGAAGCGAATAATTTTCAAATCAATGATTGATCGAACAGAAATTGGGGTTGGGAAACAAATTAAAAGTACTGCAACAATCATACACATCAATATTTTATAAATGCTTCGAACCAAGCTGAAATTTATTTCCATTATCTACATTTTTATCATAAAATAAAATTCATCATCACGAATTCAGTTAGCAATAAAATCCCGCGCATTAACAAATTCTCCATTCCTTGGAAATGGAAGGAGCAATTTCTATTTACCTCCCGCGGGATATGAATAGACTACTCAATGTCCTTACAATGCGGAGGCCTATAATAACGATAATAAAATCGCAAATCGAGTCCCCCTTTATCCATTCCGTCGTCATCCGAGTTGTACGAAACGATTATAATATGATAAACAGATAAATTGTCTCTAGAACAAAGAATAAAAATTCCCGTACCGATAATTGCCCTCTACATCAACTGTCCAATCGTTAATAATAAATAATCCGAGTCGTTACAACTGATCTAGACCCCCCAACACTCAATTTCAAAATGATTTAAAAAAATTATATCCGCGCTCTCATAATTTAGCTAGTCTGACTGTTCTCTGAATTCTGTTGTCTTCTGTACATTGCGACATTGCTCTCAGTGTAATCCATAATTCGTCTCTGGCACTGTCTCACATACTGTTGCTGTTTGTGATAAATTTTAAACGCCCCCTTGATCGTGATGAAGGCAATTCCCCCAAGTAAAGTGCGTTGAAAATTCGAATTGATACTCTCAAAAAATATTCTCCCACAAATGCTGGCAATTGTTGGTAGCAACAGAGCTCCACATAGAACTCTAGTTGCAGACACAGGGTCTGACATCGGTGGTACATCGTTCGATTGCATTCTGTCGTCACTGGCATAAGTGCTAGGTAAAAAATGCCTGAGAACAGGTACTTTGCAGGCATGTCTTCTCAGTAAACTGAGTGCCTGATCCTCCCACCTGAGCATTTTTCCAAGTACAAGCATAATTGGAATTGTTGGTAAACCAACCAATAGCACTAGGGGATCGGCTTGTTCCATCATGGTTAATCCATCCTTGTGTCCAACAACTTGCATCACTGTGACAGCTCCATACGTCACGGCTGTCCAGTAAATTGAGCCTACGACGATGCTAGCTGCTATGAATGGGCATACACGAAATATAACTCCATCTATCGTATCCAGAATGACAACCAGGGGTCCCATATTGGGATAAACAATTATGTACTCTGTGTTGCATTGGGGACAGGCGACGTACGCCCGAGCTCTTCCCTTCTGTTTCTCGTCGACCCATCGCTGGATGCACCCCTGGTGCACCCATTTTGTTGTACCTCGACAGTGGCAGGGCTTTACCCACGAGGCTGTTGCATCGTCCTCATCAGTGGCGAAGCAAACCCAACAGTATCTTTTATCGTCGTCTGAACTCAGTGTTGAGGCACTGGCAGACGTGTGATTCGGTGTTGATGCTCCATCAGTCACATCGATTGATAATTCCTGGTCGATATTTGAGGTGGAATTGCAGGTCAACTCCTCCTCGGAGGATATCGCGGCTGCCTGGGTATCAGATACCTCAAAGGAATCGCTGTAGTTTCTTCTGAGGGCATTGGCCTGGTTTGATGGATCCACCACGATGTACTCCCTGTCAGTCATGTCCAGTTGATTTGATAGATCTATCGGTGGGGGGTGGAATCTCACTGATCTGCTGGCGTATGCGGGAATTCTCGAGGAAGATGATCGTGAGTCATTTGATGAGTCTAGGGTAGGGAAGGTGGTGATGTCGAGTCTTGGAAAATTTGGAAGACAATTAATTGGTGGATTTGATGAGGAGTCTAGGGGTAAATCCTGAGTCGGATTATCCTGGTGGATGGGACTCTCCTTTGACATTTTACTCCGATTTTATTTGAGTTATCGGTCTTTATCATTCGGTGGCTGTCCGTATCATTCGTTATCACTCGTTCATCTGGAAATGTCAGGATACTGCAAATTAGATAGGACAAAGATTGCAGGTGATGTTAATTAGCACAACAATTGTGATATTAATTCTCGTACGAGGTTATTTTGGAGTTAGTCGAGTGTAATTGCATCAGACTTTCCATATGTGCAGGATCTTCGCAAACTATCAGTTGGGATTGAATTTTAATCGCAACTGGAATGTGCATTAAACCTCTGAGTGGTAACAATGTAATGCTGGTACAAAAAAAAAATACAGATAGTGGTCAATGTTACCTTTGGAGGTTGCATCCGTGGATTTTCATGGATTTTTTTAAGGTCTCGTTAACACTGCACAGCACAATGTTCTTTTAATGAATTTATTATACCGTTGGGAGAGCTTTCAGTGGCTAGGCGCAATGAATTTCATTGATAGATTGTGATGACAATGATTTGAACGAACCAAGGTCCATCCTCTCACTTTGGAAGGGGTACTGCGGTGTACATTTATTTTTGTGTAGGATTATGTTGGTAGTGGTGAGGTGGAATTTATGGCGCCATCGTCGCCCGAAGGTGCCCTTTTTCGAATCTCGAGCGATGTAGAATCAACAGATGATTTTATCCAATCATAAAAAAAATTCTAAAACAACTAAATTGGGGTTATAAATATTTTTATTTATTCACAAATACAAAAATTAATGATTTATTTTTTTTTCCTTTTGAATTCGTTTAACTCGGCTTGTTGACAGGCCCCCTCATTCATTATTTCCCTGACTTTTCGTTTTCTCTCGATATCACTCTTGATTTGATTTTTAATCTGCACTTTAGCCAGGAATGCAGCATCCCTCCTGACCTCCCTGATTGCTCCCTTCATTTCTTTCTTGAGTTTGTGAATAAGTTTTTCCTTCTCTGCTTTCTCCTTGGACATTGGCCTATGCTTTTTCCCATCGTATACCTTCTCTATCCTCGGTTCGTAAAGCCTCAAAGCCTTAGGCTTCTTCTGCGCCTTCACCAGATGCTCCAGTTGCTTATCCTCCAATGCCAGGAGATCACTGGAGATCTTCTCCACGTGTTTGCGAATATTTTCTGGGTATTTTTCGTACGAATTTATATTCAACAATTTCACGATCGGTTCGAAAATTGAGTAGACAGCCTCTAGCTCTCCCAATTGCTTCGAAAATTCATCTGTCAAATTCATAGCAGTCAAAAATACTCGAATTCGATAATCATCGTCAATTCTTCCTTCAACTAGATCACCAGCTCTCATGTGAGCACCGAGATGATTCAGCTTGAGGTTCGTTTGGTCATCCTGGAGGACCAGGAGATTTGCGAGCTCTCCAGTTTTTTTAAAGGGTGGAACAATCTTCAAAATTAAAATAGGAGGTTTAACAGTCCCCAGGTAGATAATTCCTCGGAGAAAATTGATAACAGCTGGTGAAAATCTCTTGCTCAACACAGTATACTCCAGCATCAACGTAGAAATAAACAGTCCCTTGGAAATATGCAATTTTGATTTGACTTTGCATCTCAATAATATCTGGGACATGAAGACTATCGTTGGGGTGACAACGGGATGTCGAAAATCCGAAGTGGGAAATAAGAGGGAAACGATTTTAAATAAAATCAGTGTATCCAAGGCAGGGAATATCTTCTGATTTTTTTCGAATTTCTCATGACGTTCTCTCAGTAGATTCTGAACAGATGTGGCTGTGGTGAAGGCATTGGCCTGCGCCAGGTCGAATAAATGAGGGGAAATTCTGTCGAATATTTCAAAGCACTTGACGATGTCATCGGGACTGCTAGTTTCACTGATATGTGCACACTCCATCATATATTCGAGGAGGAACTCGAATACTTTACTGAGTTTTTCACGATTTCCTTGGCCCAGGCTCCAATGATTGCATTTTACTATTCTCTCTAGAATAATGGACTGGTAGTCTGGTGTCTGGGGTTTTAGGAGTGTTTTGAGCTCATTGAGGGACTCTGGAGCCTTGTAGGTATAAGGAAGCTCCTGACGAGCCTTTTCCATTATTGTTTTTCGCTTCTGGAGGTCCTCTTGAATTTTCTGAAGTCTTTCGGAGTCTGCAAATGGCTCTGGAGCAGGACTTGGGTGTTTAGTGGGGCCCTTTTCGGCTTCTGGAGAATCTTCGTCTTCGCTTGAGGATTCGGACTCTTTTAAATCAGATAAATTATCATCTTCTCCAGAATCATCAGATTCTTCGCTTTCTTTCAACCCTTTGATTTCTTCGCCTTGAATTTCTTCTTGTTCTTCGACGTCTTCGTCTTCTTCTCCTTCTTCTTGTTCGTCTTCATTTTCTTCATTGCCCTCTTCATCGTCTTCTTCATCTTTTTCCTCTTCTGTCGATTTCTCGATTTTCTTCCCATTCCTAACGGTCCCATCTTCTCCATAAGCTAGAGTATCATCCTCCTCAATATTCTCGACCCTGAAACCATCATCAAGATCATCAGCAGACTTGTGTTTACTCCTTCCATCGCTCTCCTCCAAGAATCCCTTCATCCTCATCAATCTGTCCTCCTCGAGGGCTTCGAGCTTCTCCTTCTCCTCCTTCATTATCTCCTCTTCAGGCTTGAGCCTGTCAGATGGAATTCCCCTGCTCTCAAATTTCAATTCTCTCACAGCAATGTCATAATCGTCAGCCTTTGGCCTTTCTGTTGACTCCTCGATAGATTTATTCGACGCTGTCATCAGAGGCAGCAGATCCTTCCACTCAGTATCGAGTTTCTCGGTCAAATTAATCGTTTGCTCTCGAATTTTTTGCTTCTCAGCTTTTCTCCTCTTCGATTCAATGATCAATTGTTCTATCAAGTCCTTTCGTGAGAGAGAACTGTCTGGTTTTGAGAGAATTCCCCCACCGAAATGAGCATCAGTCACGAATTTCTTATCTAAATTTCCTTTTCCATTTTCATCATCGCTGAACTCCTCGTCACTCTTTGGGTCCTCGAATTTCTCAATTTCCTCCAGGGTTTGTCCTCTGTGTGTCAATACCTCTTCATCATTTAGACTGTAAATATTTTTTTTCTTGTGAGCCTTTATCTGCTCAGCGGCGTATCTTGCTATTGCCTTCTCTTCCTGCGACATCGAGGCATTTCTTTCACCAATTCTTTTATCCATGAATACATTGTCCTTATCTCGTTGGGTAAACTCTTGGAGAAGTGTGTGCTTACGTTTTTTAATGGCTTTTGTTCGAGCTACACCGGGTAATCCTCGGTCTGCCTTACTCTTACGACCCAGAACTTTTTGCTTATCCTTGTTTATATGAACTTCGAAGGGATTTATCGGCTTTTTGCCCTCTAATTTTTTCTTCTGGACTGAACTCTCTGACAGATTCTTCTTTTTATTTTTCGTTTTAACCATTTTGAAGATCTGAAAATTATTTAATTCATTTATTTTTCAATTAGACGAAGTTTTGAATTTTTTAAATCCCCACAAACTTCTGAAAATAGATAGACAAGATTTGGAATTACTTACTTTTAATTCTGGAGAGTATTACCACTCATTTAGATTTTTTATGTGATAAAATAGAGCTGTTTATTCCGTTGAGAAAGAAAATGGGAAAGAATTTACAAATGACCTTAGACACACGTGTATGCACAGTGAAAGGTTATGTTGTATCGTTTAGTATAAAGCATGGAAAAGTGTCATGGGCGATGAGCGAAGGATGCGTTCTCATGTAAACGTTCATGACGGCGAAGTACGCGTATATTATGGTCAGGTTAGGAGATCGATTTGAAGACCAACTCAATTTTTACTCTAATCTGGGGACAAAAATAAATCCATAGAGATATCTATCTTATACTTTTTTTTAATAATTTATTCAACTTTCACTTTCAATTCGATTGAAACAATATTATCATTATCTAAAGTTTATCGCAGTTTCAATTGATTCCGATCAATTGTAATCAAATCATTTCCTCTGAACATCTCACTGGCGATTGTGAGATTGAACTAGAGTGGTATAAATAACGCGATAAATCGAACAAATACTAAAAACAATAGTTGAATTATTTCTTCTAAATTTTCCACTTTTCTTTTTCTTCTCATTCCTGAGATCGTGATGTCTTGAGTACTTTTTATCAACTCGATGGTCTCGATGTTTTCGTGAAAATGAAGATTTGTATGGTCTCACACTTATATATTATATACAACAATCTGTGCTCTAATCGCATGTACATCGCAGTCATTTGAGCATTTTTTCTTTCGCAAATGACAAAAAAAGAAAAAATTCTTATCCGTCGTAATGATAAAATTCAAGAACACATTTAATGATTGATCAGGTTACAACTGTTGATGGACTTCGCCCACTGCATCCGTCACAAATTTTCTGTTATAAAGTTTTTCTTTTTTCTCATTAATTATAAATAACGTACTGTACATTTATCCAGACTTGTGTGATAAATAATGGAGTAGTGGATGATTGCGATGTATGTCGATTAAGCGATAAATGAACTTGCCAGAGTCCCTGAAAAGCGTTAACTTAGTGAAGTGATTTAGAGACCAGCAAGAATAATTCTAGGATCCTCAACGGCATCCTTAATTTTACGAAGGAACATGACAGCTTCACGACCATCGATCAGCCGGTGATCGTAGGTCAGGGCGACATACATCATCGGACGTATGACAACCTGTAAAAAAATTTTTACACGTTTAATTAAAATCTCAGATTCATATAAGTTAGGAAAAAATTAGGGATTCAATTGGAAAGATATTTTACCTGTCCCTTGACGGCAATGGGTCTGTCGAAGACTCCATGCATTCCCAGGATAGCACTTTGGGGTGGATTGATAATTGGTGTGCCCATGAGTGATCCAAAAACTCCACCATTGCTAATTGTGAAGGTTCCACCGTCCATATCTTCCACAGATATCTTGCCCTTTCTGGCTTTATCCCCAATGGCAGCCAGTGCTATTTCAATCTCAGCAAAATTTTTATTCTCAATGCTTCTGAGTACTGGGACAACCAGTCCCTTGGGTGTCGCAACAGCCACACTGATATCCACGTAATCACGATAAACAATATCGCCTCCATCGATAACAGCATTGACCACTGGCTGATCCTTGAGGGCATAAGCACTGGCTGCCAAGAAGGGACTCATGAATCCCAGCTTAAGTCCATATTTCTTGGTGAAATTCTCCTGATTCTCTTTTCTGAATTCAATGATTTTACTCATGTCTATCTCGTTGAATGTCGTGAGCATTGCATTGGTGTTCTGGGCGTCCTTGAGGCGTTCAGCAATGCGCAATCTCATGCGATTCATCTTGACTCGTTGTTCAGTTCGTGTTCCAATGATTTCGCGAGTGTAATCGGCTGGGGGCAGCTGGACTTTTGCTCCCTCCAGGGATTGGGCGTGTTTTATGGCAGCTACTGGCATCGAGGCGGTTGGTCGTTGGGGTGGAGGTGGTGCTGATGCAGGTGGAGGTGGTGGTGGTGGTGGTGGAGCAGCTGCTGCAGGGGTTGGCGGTGGTGATGGAGGTGCTGCAGCAGCTGCTGGTGGTGGTGGTGGAGGAGCTGCTTTTGGTGCCTCGGCTTTAGCTGACGGGGCAGCTCCACCCGTTGCTCCTAGGTCGATGCTGCAGAGCTTCTGGCCTGCTTTTACCGTTGTTCCGTCCTCCACGAATAACTCTTTTATTACACCAGCACCCGGTGAAGGCACTGGCACGGAGGTCTGCAGAATTATATTTTTTTCGTTTTAATAGTTCCTCTTAATATTCGTGAATGATATCTCTCACCTTGTCGGTTTCGATCTCACAGAGTACATCGTCCTCCTTTACTTGGTCTCCGACCTTTTTCTCCCACCTAACATCTCCCTCACTCACACTCTCAGCGAAGGGAGGTACGACGACGTCCTGCAGGGCCCCTGGGAAATTAAATAATGTTCAGTATCTTCTAAAAATATTTAACGAGCAATAATAATCCCCGTAACCTACATAATCCCTGGGTCGATCGAATTCGTCTCATCTGAGTATTCCAGCAGTAACTCCCGTTGAATTCATTATGCCTTTAATGATAAAAACATAAGTTTATACACAATAGTAGAAAATTAATAAACTAGAGAGAATCACTCACAAATTATCCAATCGAGTCCCAGAGCATCTGATTCTCCTCAGCACTCGTCCTGCAAAAAAATCAATTGTCAAAACTCCTTCTATGAAATCAACTGGAGGATTTGGGAATACCGCAATTACCCTCATGGTGGATCGACCTTGCAACCTGCAACAGAATAATGAGAAAGGATTAATGTGACAGATACTGCAACAGCGTCACGCCCTGAAAATACTCGAGGATTTCGGAACAATCAGACGTGCATAAAAATTTAAAATGCTGAATGACATTAGGTAATGCCGGTAATGGTGACAGGGAGGAAATCTTCGAGGGAGCCGCCGAGATTATGTAATCTGAGGACTTGTATTTTGGCTAGGCAATTCGTAACATAAGATCAACATGAGATGATATCGTACTCCCAAAAATACCGAAAAATCATTGCAGCACGGGTTATCAGAGAATCCCCCGGTGATAGGAGGTAGATAATAATTGGAAACTAAAGGAGGGAAATGGCAGTGATAAAATCATAAAATGAGGAAAACGAGACTCACCTTAATGCGAGAGGATGATGTCAGACGTGTCAGAGCACGGGGGAGTAATCGATTACAGTTGGACAGCATTATCGCAGCCATCCTGGGGTCGATGAATTTATGATGATGGAAATACTTTTGATAGTTGGAGTCGTGTCTGGACCCTCGTGATGACAGAGATCACTACCGAGACGGAGGTGGTGGAGGGAAGCGTCAATGAGGATCACGAATATATCGTACTAATGAGTACCTCATTCTCACAGCAGATGGATAACTACGTCCAGGAGGTGGCGACATCTTCAGGCCTTTTAATTTTTTCCGCGGAAGTTAATTTTGTTATTGGGTATTTTGAAAATTGCGAAACTCCAATTACTCAATTCATGGAATTCCAGAGGAAATTGCAAAATTTTTAATGACGGTTATGTCACTGCAGTGGAATATCCAGTCATTTTATCATTAAATCTTTGCATCTGAAATACGAGACATGAAATGATTTCTGTCGATTATTTTAACTGATTTTCAATGATGGGACCGTTGAACAATTTTATTTCTCAAATTCTTTCCTCCTTTGGAAAAGGAGATAATTACGAATGAAGACATTTAATTGTTTTCCTGGAAATAATTACCTTTCGGAGAGTCATTTTAATAGTTTCTATTTTTTAAAGCTAGTGCCCTTAAATACCTGGACTCTGGGACAAAGGTGGGCACTACGCATTGCAAACTCAATTCTCCCTCTTCGAAATATTTTTCCGTTTTAAAAAGCCCACCATAAGAGTCTTTCTCTGATCATTTGCACGTTCTTCGAAATGCTTGCATTTTCCTTTACCTTTTTCTTTCTGCCCGATGTAAACCCTGTCATAAAAATTCTTACTCCGTAGACGATTTGACTACCATAAATAAGACCCTTCCAAAGTGGGACCTTTTCAAACCATTTTAAAATCCACCCTAATTAGTTTTGTCCCGCCTTGAAGCTATAACACAGAAAAATACTTTTTTTTCCCTCATTGCCGTTCCAAGGAACGATCTGCCTCCCCTTCCTTTTTAACGTCAGGCCCTACGTCACCGGCTAAGGAAAAACCCTGAGGTTAAGCGTCGTGGGGGTAAAAGATCCAACCCTCAGAGCGTCTGATTCTGCGATTGGCTCCCTACCATGTCCTAGGGGCTCAATGCATATATACGCGTCTTGTCTCTCGCGCGGTGTGTTAATACAAATTCATGTTTGTTACCGAGACATCGAAAGATGGCTGGTACGACGCGACGCCTTCCAATGGCCAATCTCTCGATATTATTTGCTGTTGGATTGCTAACTTCACCCTTGGCAACCCCTGTTAAAATTTCCCTTCAAAGTGTATCAGATCTGGTGATTCAAAGTGCATTAGACTCTCTCAACGAAAAATCTCCGACCGGGAACACTTACAAAGGTGGAAATCTTTTAAGTGCGCAGAAACTGGTAATTATTAAATTCCTGAATAATTTCACTTTATTTAAGATCTTTTGGGGTCATCATCTTCTAGTTCATTAGGTGAAAAAAAAACATTGAAAGCATGAATATTGATAAGATATCCAGAGTCACCAGTTCACCCACTAGAGTGATAACTCAAATTATCGTGAATGGTTTTGCTTCGTACCAGCATTTTGTGGGATTTGCAATACAAAATTAGATGAAAACATAATATTTTTGCTATGTTGCATCATTTATTGAACGGAAAAATTAACTTGAGAGATTTCATTGGATGTTCAAGGCAGATGCTTATGGAATGTTTGGGGAATCATCAATTTCTTCATTATAATGCACATTTGAAAATCAGAATAATTGGAATTTCAGAAAACTCCCCCGTACGTGATTTATCGTCTCACCTTGAATTTGGAGACAAATTGCCCGGAGACATCGTGTCCTCGAGAGGCATGTGCAATTGAAATAAAGCAACACGAATCAGGTGTTATAGAAATTGAGAATGAATCGAAACAATGCGTTTTCTTGTATCCACAATCTGACCAGCGCAGCTCCCAGGATATTCCAGATGATCAGCTTATCGAGAGTCTTGATAGACAGATTAACGACAGTGTAAACCTTGATCACGAAGTTCAGGAGGTCTCAGATCACAACGATCGTCCATTCATAGCTGTTAGGGCATCTCACTACTGTCCAGGATGTCCCTACGAGCTGAATCCAACGCTTCCAGGTCTCGAAATATTCGGAGAACTCGCGGCGACATCTCTGGACGATTCAGGTCGGAGTGATTTCAAGCACAGGATCGTCAGCATCGTGAGGGTCACTAGGGCAGTCCCTCCTGGTTCTAATGTCGTTCGTTATGAACTGCTGATGGAGGTGGGAGAGACGAATTGTCTCAGGACAACGGTAATTCAAAGGTCGAAGTGTTCTCTCCAGACGAATGTTCCTATCAGACTCTGTCAAGTGAGAATCGATGAGAACCCCTGGCAGCATAACAGCAGACAAATAGTATTCAATAATTGTACCGATTCGGATAAAGCGAATGGATTGACTGGACAAGTGGATCCCACGTTAACGAGCGAGTCCTTGATTACGGAGAATTGTAATGATTATGAGTCACAGTCGGAGATTTATGATCAGGTGGCACTTGAGGGTCAATTGAGTACGTATCAGAGTCCAGTTGAGTCATCAGTTGTCACAGCTGCTGAAGATTCGTCCCCACCTGTGGTGACCGAAGTTCCTTTCAAGAGAATTTTCGTTGAGACAGAGAGGCCAGAGGTAATACCAAAATTCGCGGATAAATTCAGGGAATTCGATGACTTTCTCGAGGGATTTGATATCGATATTAGGCCCACCACTGAGCATTCACACGGGCCTGAGGTCGTCGAGGAGATGATTCGTCCTGAAAGGGTGAAGGATCAGATCTCAGTGGAAATTACAAGGACGAAGAGAGAGATTGATAATAATTACGACAAGAGTTTGATACTGAAGTTGTCGCAGAAGGCGTTGAGTATTCTTGATGAAATGGACAATGATGATAAGAAAAGAGTGATTGCAGATGTCGTGGATTACAAGAGAATCAGCTCTGAGGGATTTTTGTATCAGATAACACTCTTGGTGGCTCCAGGGAGCAATTGTCGTGAGGATCATAAAAATATTAAGGACTGCATTCATGATCCTGAGGGGGAACCCATGAATATGTGCAAATTGCAGATTCAAACGGATGATAAGAGCACTCTAGAGACTGCCAAGGTTCTGCAGTCACAGTGTTATGAAATTGAGAGTAGAAGGAAGAGACAGCTCTTGGGGGGTCCCCAAGTTATTTCTGTTGATGATCCGGAGGTGCAAAGGTACGTAGGCAACGGATTGAGGAAGTATTCTGCTGAGATGGAGGGGGATAATGAGCCAATGATCATTCAGGTTATTGAGGCAACAAGACAGACAGTAGCTGGATCTCTTTACAAGATCAAAGTTGAAATTGGTGAGAGCAATTGTCCAAAGAGAACAGCAGAATTACAGAATTGTCAGTTGTTGCGGAGTAGTCCTTCTAGAAATTGCTTGATCAAGGTGTGGTCTAAGCCCTGGGAGAATTTTGAGGAAACTACAGTGACGTGTGACGAAGCA